TTCATCATTCGTTCATTTGGTAATGTCAACATACATGTTTTTATACATGGTAATCTTTTGTATGTAACCGATGATTTAATAATACTCGCATTTATGAAGTGAAGKTTATTACCCAATATGCCCCTTCCATATATGTTCACAATGCTTAATTAAAATTAAAATTTTAAAAATTAAAATTTTAAATTGATTAATTTACAATCATTGATCATTTGTTTGGATGGCCAAGATCGGTTAATAAGGTTAACATGAAAGGGTTGGTTAGCATTTGATCTTGGCTCTATATATATATATATATATACACTCTGGATCACGTGAGATCGGTTTGTTTTCGTGAGACCTGTGAGACCACTTTTTTACACTTAAAACTTCACAATAAAATATTATGAAGGTAACATTCACAGTATTTTTGTTATGAAGGTTTGACTTTTTTTACCTTCACAGTGATTTGTTATGAAGTTTCAAGCGTAAAAAATAATCTCATAGGTCTCACGAAACAGATTGCTCTTACGTAAATCCAACCCTGTATATGCGTATCAATTATTGGTCAAAGATGATCCGACGGTCATACTGATATTTCAAGGGGTGATTTTTGTAATTTCAAAAGACCGTGTGGACCTCAAAGTCTTTCTCTTACCAGGACGGCAACTGTATTTTGACACGACTCCGAGTTAAATTATTATGCGGTGGTTCCCTACAGATGTTACCATACTCCCTACGACTTTTTCAAGTCAAACCAATTATTTTTAAATCCAAAATTACCCTTTTTTTTAATCCAAGCCTTTACTCAGACTGGCCTTCCTTTTGTATATTTATTCACCGGTTTTGGACCAATTATTCCAATGAACTTTTATTTTGTCAAAAAAATATGAATAGATCATTTTGACTTATAAAGTCAAAGGTAGATTGGTTAAGGGAGGTGGAAGGCGATGCAGGCGATCGGAACCAAGTTGTGGCATTTTGAGTTTTAAAAAGCGGTTGACGGGGTGCAGCTGGAATACCCAAAAAGACGTGCGCCGCTCACGCAATTGGCGCGTCTTTTGTCCATAATGTCCTTTTTTTCTAAACCATATCACCTAAATAAATCAGTTATTGAATATATTTAAAAATAAATTGAGAAAATTTTTATGTATGAAATTAAAGCATTTGATAAAAACTTTTAAAAATTATTTTTTATGCGTGAAGTACTGTGATATTAATGTATATTACTTAAAATGTAAAATTACAAGTAAATTATGCATAAGTACAATTTGTTAAAGCTTCATTTTTTAATTCGTATAACTAACTGTAGATAAACATAATCAAATACATGATAAACATCTCATTTTAAATATTAAAAATCTAAAATATAGTTAGAATAATCACTGAGTTCTAACAGAATTATTTATCTTTATAAAAGTTATATTGTTAAGCCAAAAATAAATTACTTTGCTATTAGATCTAAATTAAATTATAATAAAAATTGAATTAAAGAAATTGTACAAAAAACGAGAGCTTTCAAATAGTTAATTTGTAACTAATATTGATATATTTTTTCAAATTATTAAGATATATTTAAATTTATTTTCTTCAAAAGTGTAAATATTATCTTTCTCAAAACCATATAAACTGTATTATATCAAAAGAAACAAAAAATAAAACGAATCATAAAATGAAGATGTATCTCGCTGCATTATGTGAGTATCCTTCTAGTTTATATAATGTAAATGCAACAAAAAAAACTCACACACACTCTTTATCTTTTATGAGGTTTGAACCTCTGACCTCCTACGAAGCCAAAGACTACGATACTGCTAGGCTAAAGACCATTTGGTTGCTAATAAGTTCTTCAAAAAAAATCAAAAAACTATGTATCAAAATTTAAAATCTATAAAAAAGATTACATTCACCCGTAATAGATTTATCTAATTATAAATATTACAATGTAAATTATATTATTAGAGAAAAAGATTTATTTAAAATAAAATAAATAGAGATTTGAGAACTTTTTCTGTTCCAACATATTATTTAAAACCTTATCTATTGAGAAAATATGATAGATGATATAAAATTCTTCAAATACAGAAATTTCTTAAAAATGATTGTTCAGATGTAAGAAATAATATTTTATAATTCATATCAATAAGAATTTTTGAAATTAAATGTCTGTGAAAGATAAATAATATGTTAAAAAATGTATTAAATATTTTAATAATATAATTAATGTGATAATATCTAAAATGGAAGAATCTGTTAAAGTTGGAGGCAGATTCTTTTTCTGATTTTTCATACTCCATTTTGGAGCAATTTTAGAGAGATTGTTGAAGATGCTCTTATATATCTAATATGATATTATTTTACTCTTATAAACATTTAATTTCAATTTGCCTCTGGTGTAATAGCGTTTTCGAATCGGTTAGCCATTGCTTTGCAGGTGCTCTTTGGTCTTGGTTCTGTGGGGCAGGATTTTGAAGTGGTGGGGCTTTGACCCTTGGGCATTTTGTTTTGGTTTCAGACGTTTGGACTTTATCTGAGTTGTATTCTGCGTCTTCTTTTGCGAGTAAGTTATAGACAATTGTTGTTTGCATCTCCCTTACATTGATTTGAAGCTCTTGTAATAAATTTTGTTTGGTAGATTGTGTGGTCGTGGTGACTTGTAGATCGATATCCAGTTTGATTCGTTAATTGTATCATTTGCCTAAGCTTTATCTGGATCTTGGGTGACTATGTTCTTGTTAGTCGGTTTTGGTCGATTTTGATCGGTTATAACTTACAAACCGTTTTTTGGTTAAAATGATGTAACTCCAAAAGGTGTGTTGTGGCGGAGACACCCTGACCCCGGGTCGCATTGGATCAACGCCACCCTACCTCCATAGACGCGCCCCTGGCAGTCCCCTGTCCAGGTAATCTGCAGCCGGTTGGAATTAAACCCAGGACCAATTCTCCAATAGTCCCCAAACTGCAGACCACATGGCATTTGCGGGGAGGAGGTACCGATCAACTAATTGACTAGGGTGGGATTCGAACCCTGGACCTCCTAGGAAGCCAAGTGCCCTTCCCACCACTAGACCAACTAGTGATTGGTAAAATGATGTAAGTAACTAATTTTTAAAAGTTCGATGATTTAATCCGTTGAAAAAATGTCTAAAAACTTAATCATTCAAAATAGTTTGTTAGGTTTTTCTGTACTTTTCCTTTTCAGAAAAAAGTTTAGAGAATCTGTTAGAATAAAAAATTCATTTAAGAAGTTAATTATTACGTGATTATACAAAGAAAAAGTGCTTAGCGAATTAATTAAAAAATAAAAATACTAATTTCTTCGATAAAATCCGTCAACGGTGTCGATCGATCCATTAAATGTGGAGAGGGTTAACTACCAATTCTGAAATCCGACACAGATACAGATACAGACTTATCCAATCAGACCAAGGAGACAATTAATTGCTTTTCGGGAATGTTTGTTGGATCCATTCACGGATTTCTCTTCCGATTTCCAATTCATTCTTGAAATCCCCATCTTCATCATCTGTTTCTGATGAATTTTTGAAACCACAGACTGATTTTTGAGACAGAGAGATGAGCGCTGATCAGGAGGTGAAACTCGACGACGAACAGCTCGGAGAGCTCCGGGAAATATTCCGATCATTTGACCGGAACAATGACGGCAGCTTAACCCAACTGGAATTGGGTTCGTTGTTACGATCTTTGGGTCTTACACCTAGCCCTGATCAGCTCGATGCATTGATACAGAAAGCCGATACCAACAGCAACGGTCTTGTGGAGTTCTCGGAGTTTGTGGCGTTGGTGGCGCCGGAGCTCCTTCCGGCGAAGTCTCCTTACACCGATGACCAACTGAGGCAGCTGTTTAAGATGTTTGATAGGGACGGTAATGGGTATATCACGGCGGCAGAGCTGGCTCATTCTATGGCGAAGCTGGGACATGCGTTGACGGCGGAGGAGCTGACGGGGATGATCAAGGAGGCGGATACCGACGGTGATGGACGGATTAATTTTCAAGAGTTCTCTCGGGCGATCACTTCAGCTGCTTTTGACAATTCTTTTTCCTGAAACAACTTTTCCGGCCATCCATATCCTTATTTTCTCTTTTCAGGTATCGTCTTCTCCGATTTATCTTCTAAAATTTGTTTAGAAATGGCATTCATAAGTAATCTGAGGTCAAAGTTCAAGTATTTAGGGGCATTCATAACTTCATATAAGGCGAAGCTTTATCCATAAAGCCAAGTTTTTTCTAAACTATCTCTACAGGTTAAAAAAGTGCTTATTTCATCTATGAAAAAACTCTAACAAACAAAAACCTTCTAAATCTATATAGACAAGTATACATACATGACTTAATGGAAAACCAACCAAACAGTACCTTAGGCTAATACAATGGCTTATCAGTATCTTCACTGATGATCTACTCGTTGGGGTAGTCATGTCTACATACATCTCATCCTTCAGACCTACTTCCGGGTAGGACATATTGGCTTTGTTTGGTTTGGTTACAATTACTTGTCGTTCATTGGGTTATGGTCTAGACCATGAGCTATGACTAGTTTATTAGCTAGCAACTAAATTATATCAATTGTGTTTACCTTCAATTGATGGTCAAACCAGTTGTTTGTCCCTGAACCATAAAGGTCATTGGTTAGAGATTAGCGGGTTTGTTCCTTTATGTAATAAACAATACTGAACGGTTTTCTTGTTTCTCAGATGATCCTTGTAGGTGGTCGAGAAACAGGCTCAAATCTTCCATATGAAGGCTCGTTCGAATTTTATACATAAACCATTGCGAAAAGGTCGTTTGTTTCATTAGTAAGCCACTTGTTGTGCAGAGATGATGATAGATTTGGTGAACTTGAGGATGTGGTTCGAATAATTTGTGTTTGGCTCGATTTCATTGCTTGCATTGTTGCTAATAAGCATCATAGCCACTTTTGGAACCAAATGTTTCGACTCATGAACTCCCATTTCACGGTCACGGTTTTGGCGTCCGTCTATTTTGAGACGGAAAACCGATCAAGTTGTTTGCATCTTCTTCGTTTTGTATTTTTTTTTTAATGTTTCATATGATGTAGATGTTTGTCACATATTATCTCTTTTAAATGTCTTAATGACCCACCAACTTCATAAAGATAGTCAAGTTACTACTTACCTTTCTTTATGAAAGATTGAATGGCATTGATATGGATCCATCTGAAAGTTGTTCAGTGTTTTAAAATGCAAATAAGACTCTCCATCTTTATCATTGCTTTTATCGGGTAAGATTTTTGACACTTGTCATGTTCATCCGGTAAGGAAAATTACCCCGTAAGCACTTACCGAGCAAGTTTTTAGTAAACGGCCCCTAAAAATACAGTGTGGTCATTGGATTGTTTCCCGAAGGGTTGAAAATTGACCGATTGATTGAACAAGAATTAGAAATGAAACATCATAGATATAAACAAACAAGGTCCCAAATGTGGCCGGCATAATTTTATTCGACCAAATTTCAACTCCTTTGTTTTATTCACATATTGAAAATGTAGGAATTCTTTGAGCTCCATTGAATTCCTTGGATTAAAGGTTTCACCATTCCATGGGATATCCCAGTTCCTTTTAACAATTCCATTCCAATTCCATCCAACCAAATGTGTGGTCAAATTTCATTTCAATTCCTTCAAAGTCAAATTCATTTGACAGATTCCAATTCCACCGAACTCTATCCCGGGAACCAACCCCCTTAGATTTATATGTTTGATCATGTTTCTATCTCCTCCCACAAACCAATATGCTTGACACATTTACACTAATCAGATAGAAACATTTCAACTATGCAATAACTGACCTTTCTTAGAACTAAAAACATACAGGTCAACCCATTATGTCAATTTAGTAGTTCATGAGCTATTAACTCTCTCAGAATTCATAAGTTGGTACACAAACAACACAAACAGGGACGACGATAATCAATCTTTATAGCAAATTAAACGCTATTCGTTATCATTAAGTTTCAATGAATAGCGATACATTAGAAATATAAGGCAATTTTGAACAGAAAGAAAGAGAGCCTAAGATACCTCAAGAACTTGCATTACACTTTCTTCTTCTTCTTGGATTTGAGCATCACATATCCAATAAACACAGACAAGAAGCAAATCAGAGAGACGCCCGCGTAAACAGGTAGCAGAATTGCATATTCTTGGGGTAAGAAGTAATTGTGTACAAAGTGCTCCTTGTCAACAAACGGCTGAAATCAAAGACCCATAAAAAACTTCCGTTACTAGAAATTTGGAGATAAGGATCAAGTAATGTAGGAAAAGAACGGGCATAACTAACCAATATAATGACCCAAAATGTATAATAGGTGAAAATGGTCACGCTGATGCTTGCTAAAATGAGCCCAATCGCCCTGTCCGCCAACTCCATTGTATGTAGACTTTTATATGTTCCTGTCGCACAAGTCCACAACAATTTTCTTATATGTTCACAAGTGACAAGACATACCTTACGGATCATTACAAGTTCAAAGCATAAATAAACAACTTTATCAATCGCAAGATCATCCATTGAGAACCCACTACCCCATTACGATTTCTAAGCCAACATGGAAGAATTTACCAATGGCAAGATCCTAAAAGGAGACTATTGGATTGAAAGTTGAGACCCACAACACCATTACAAGTTCTAAGTAGACAGATGACTTCAATGGAAAGATTGACCATCGGAACCTAAAAGGATAATGTGGGATTGAAACCCTCCCCCAACTACAAGTTCTAAGCAGGCACGGTTCTAGTGTAAGGTTTAACCAAGAGCATAAATTTAGCTCGAAAACACCTCCGCAATCCATGAACATCACGTAGCAACACGATCCCAGCATCTAACCACATGAATATGTACACATTTTACAAATCCCAAAAAGACCTACATTTCCTTAATTTATGTTGATCCCTCCATAAGTGTTGATCGGAAGCCAAACATTGACAAACCTAATCCCCACAAGTATATCAAAATCAAGAAATTCTAATTCAACAATGAAAAGCATACATGTTAACTCATTATTTCATCACCCATACATATTAAAACCAAAAATTGTTGCTTTCAAACCTGTACATATTAAAACAGTGAAATCATAGCAAAAGTCTTCCACAAGCAATGTTCAGGCAATCAATAGTCACAACAGTGAAATCTGTGACGTCATGTGAACTAGAGTTCAAGCAATCAATAGTCACAACAGAACTCTCCATAAGCAATGTTCGATGCAAGAAACCTCAGCCCAAATCGACTTTCAAAACCCAGTCGTTTTTCAAAACCAGAATTGATTTGCAAAACCAAAACCAAAATCGATTTCATAAGCAAAGAAAACACTCGGACTCGTTCATCGAAAGCAAAATCGATTTCAAAACCGAACAGAAAAATCGATTTCAAAATCATAATCGATTTAAGCAGGTCAGCGTGAAGGAATCAGAATCATACCAGGTAAGGTAACCCAAATCGATTGGCAATCCGGAGCAAGATCGTGAGTCTTGATCGAGATCGACCGTCCTAATAGGGCAATTTGTTATCTTACTAAAATCGGTTGGAATGGAATTCGATTCCGGCTGCTCTGCGATGGAACGCTGAAATATATGGTCATGTAGAATTCAATTCTACTTTATAAATGATGGAATTGATTTTGATCAACTCATCCCATTTATTTCAAAATAATAAAATAAGATTAATATAATTTATGAAACACTTTATGTTAGCAACTCTTCATACGAAAATAACAAGGGTCGAGAATAGTGAGGCCCAAAAACCAGTAATAGGCTGGTCTTAACCGATCTTAAGATTTCTTATAACCGGTCCCGGCATAACTGGTCCTTACCGGTCCTTGGCCGGTCCCGGTCCTCCGGTGGTCCCGAGCCGGGCCGGCCATCACTAGTCGAGAATCTTATCTGAATGAAAGAAAATAATCATCGAAAATAAGCAAAGGTAATGACCGTTACTCAGTAACTATTTACCGGATTATAAACGTTTACAATCAATCTATTTTGATGGCTGAAAATATCATCCCATACGGTAAATTAGAGTGATGACTCTTGCCAGCAACTGTTTACCCGATAAATGTTCAGTAAATCTTAGTTATTTTATATTAAATATGGATTTTAGAACTGTTTAATTGAAAAGTTATATTAACTTCTTATTTTAGTTTATAACAAAATTTTATATTTTTGTTATATCGATCAAAGGCATACATAATTAAGGGGTGATTTACCAGAATACATATTGAGCAAGTGCTTACTTATAAGAGTTGTCATCCTTACTTATCGGGTAAGATTCTCGTTTCTTGTTTTGTTTCTTGTCGTTTAAGTGTTTTGTAACTGATCTCAAATTACCTAAAGTGGATAAAAGTAATTCTTAAACTCATAGTGAAGTTCACTACAACTTAAAAGGGGTGCTTTTGTAAAAGAATATAGTTTTAAGGCAAAAATGTACCATTTATTAAGCCCGAAAGAAAGTAAAAACAAAATAATCCACCATTCCTAATGGCTCGTAACGGGCTTTCCGTACATCTGTGAGGACCATGACCGCTTGAGAAAGGCGAAAGGGAAAAAAAATAAAGAGTAAATTACGAAAATGTCCTTTGGGTTTATGAAAACTCTAGTTTCGATCCTTGAGAATTGCAAGGATCATCATGTAATTTTGTATTATGTTACAATTTTCATTTCTGACTATAAACGCTGATAAGGGTTATCCATTAAGTTCCCAACATGAAATTCATGTGAGGTAATCTGTATTCCTTTTTATTAAAAAAGAGTATACAAGTCCTTATAGCATGTGTACAAGTTAAAACAATTTTAACAAAAACCTAACCTAACCCCTAATATGATATCCCTCTCCTTATCGAGAAAAAAAATTGAGTTTCTATCTTTTTCTAAGGCAACAATCATCCTTCTCCAATGACAACCTCTCCCATCTCACCCTCGATGAGTCACTGTGTCACATTGCTAAGTGCTAGCCCCTCATGGTCTCTAGTCTCGCACACCAAAAGTGACATCCTCAAACTGGAATCGGTTGTGGCGAGGAATGTGTGATGTAGAGTTGAGAACATCACGAGGGAAAAATGAGGAACAACAGTGGAGGAGGGTTGGCGGTGGTTGAGGTTCGACTGTAAGAAGAAGTTGTGACGATGGTTGAAGGTCGTGGTGGTGGGAGAAATTGCGACAGTGAAGAGTGCTATAGAAAAGGAGGAATGACAGTAAGGGTACGGGGGTGGCATCAGTGATGAGAGTTGTCAGAAAGGAGCGGTGTCGGTGATGGAGTTGCCGGCAACGATAAACCCAAGATTTTTGCTGAGCGAATGCATCTTGAAGGCATATCAAAGGTCCGAAAAGTCATCCGATATGTTTTCAGTCGAATTTTACCATTTCAAGCGATGTTTTTCATATGTTTTTTTGTTGATTTCGAGAGACTAATTCAATTTTTTTGTTGATTTTGAGGAAATTTTTTGGTTGTTGTCTTTTTTAAATCCCAGAGCACCCCTAAAACTGTTTAGCAAGCACACTTTTCATATTCAAAAAGATTCTATTGATAAAATTGGTTGAATTAGTGTACGGGACCCTGCTCGAGTTTTAATAGGTCTGCCTGTCATTGCCGAAGAAGGAGGATTGCCAATGGTTGAGAGGTTAATATAGTTTTTTAATGCTTTAAACCATTGTACATGTTTTTTACAAACTTGTACACTAAAAAGTTATAAAGAAAATGAAAAATTACCAAATTTTCCTAACATGACTTGCAAGTAGGATACTTAACGGATCTAACGGCCAAAAATGAAAACCGTAACAAAATAGATACTTGAATGATTGTTCTTGTAATTTTCAAAAGTTAAGGACGAAAATGAAAAAACAATCACAAATCCAGGGACGAATTTTGTAAATTACTCTTAAATAAATGAGGGCTTTGGACCCAGTGACATATAAAACCCAGCTTTTTCTCCAACTTGCTTTTTTAATCTCTCTAAATCGAGCATGCACCGACAATCTCTCAGCTCACCGGCTTCCAAGCATGGAATCGTCGTCGGTGCCGGAGTCATTAAAGACGACAATATCAGCAAGCTCACTCCGGAGGACCTGCAGAATCACCGGAAAGAAAAATTAGCCCCCTCCGCAGCTGATGACGAAGAACATCAGTCAGAGAAGCCTCATCAACCGAAGTCAATGACATTTTCTTCTTTGAGACTCATCCACCTGATTCCACTCCTCACTCTGTTTTGTTTCGTCATCCTCTATCTCGCCTCTCACGATCCTTCCGGAAAAGGTTCTATTCGTTATAATTTGATTATCATTGCTAATTTCTGATTGAAACTGTTAATTCTAGACTTCACATGTTAGTTTTTGTTATGATTTCACCGCTTCAGATTTAGCTCAGTTTGATGGATTCACAACGCTATCATCGAAGAAGAATGTCATAGGTACAATAGAAAATGCGTATTACAGTATGTTATCAAATTGCAGCTACATACCGAGTTCAACTATTAATCGAAGAAGAAACTCATTATTCGATTTGCTTTAATTTTTCGTGTTTCTATAATAATTTGTAGATTCAAGTGATTTTCTCATCGAGAAGAACGATGCCATGGCAATTGGAGGAACAAGAAGCTTGCAGCAACAAGAAGTCAATAAACGACGCCGATTCAATCGGAGATCTGGAAATTGACTTTTCCTTGAATTCGCAAACTCTGTGTCTCGATTTCCCACCCTCGCTTCTCTATCAATCGGTGTAGAGATTCACAGATTTGTAAGTGGTAATTCGATTATTTTCAATAGTACACAAGTTTTTATTCTGTAGTTATTTAATTTTTTAAAATTGCTATAAGATCTGCAACAATATCATCATCGAAGCAGATAGAGAATTGCGAGTACATTGCCGTCTGATGAATGCAATTCATTCATATGCTAAAATGCATCGTCCAGATAGAGAGTAGCGGTGTAAGGGGCCGTTTACCAACGATAAACGTTTATCAGTAAAATTTAACATCATTACTTACTTACCGGGTAAGATTTTAATCAACAAAAACAACATCTTATACAACAATATACCCGATAAGCGCTAACCATGGTAAAAGTTGTCATCCTCACTTATCGGGTAAGACTCTCGGTTCTTGCCTCGCTCTTATCGGGTAAGATTCTTGATTCTTATTATATTCATCCAGTAAGGTAATATGACTTGGTAATCAATTACCCGAGTAAATGTTTAATAAATATCCTCTAAATCTAACAAAGTAGAATTTGGGCTTTTGGGGTTCCTCTCATATGTCACCCATTCAAGTTCTACAACTTGAGATTAGTCGAGACATGCAAAATTTATTTCGGACATCACAATTAACCAAATGAAAAAAGAAAAGCAAGGGGGCGTTTACAACCCCTGAAGTTGAACATATTGGAAGCCGGAGAGCGGGGGCATTTTTTAATAGTATATTCATAATCATCGTTGGGGCAAAATGCATTTGACTTCATTTTATACATATGGAAAGTTTTGTGTGGGGCTGAAACGTGTGTTAAATTTTGAAATATAATTGTTTGGTGACTGATTATAATGAAGTTAGGGTGCTAGATGGTTAAAAGATGTTCATGATGTAAAATCATTCAAAAGGTTTTAGAACCATTAAGAGACAAACTTTTTTATGACAAACAAGATTCTCCTCCTAATGATTTAGAGACTGTCTTTTAATAAAACTATTAATAGGTAAACAAACAACCCCTAGAACATCAATGAATTGCAAACTATAAGAACGAAAATATCAACAAATTATAGATTAAAAGAATGAAAACAACAATAAATTATAAACCATGAGGATGAAAATTATAATTTCAAGAATATAACAACAAAAATAACAATTTTTAGCAAATCACGCGGACTAAAAACATGATTTACTCTACTCTAAAAATTAAATAAATCCAGTTACAGGTTTTTTCCTTTAACATTAATGCTATAATTTTTCTATAATGGAGCATAAAAAATCAAAATCTTTAAAAAGTTTTACATCAAACTCCAACAACTATTTTATTTTTACAATTCTAACATCAACTATATTTAATAAAATATTATCTCCTTTCTACACATTTAATTTCAATACCTCTTATTGGTTAAAAAAAAATCAAAAGGTTATTTATCCATCTTCTATAAAGTTCAAGAAATTTCTTCAAATTTGAATATTTTCACCTTATTTCTCTTCCTTTCTTTATTTTAGCATATATCATTTAGCATAACTCTTTAAGCAAAAAAAAAAAAAAAAAACCATATTTCTTCAAAAAAAAAATATCATAGTTATTAGAGATGCACTAAAAACCAAACCACTTAAAACTTAGCCCAGTTTATGAAATAAACTGAAGCATTTAAAAGAAAAAATAAAATACTTAAACAAATAAGTAACCAAACATTCATCAAAAAACAAACAAGTTGAGTTTTATTGTGCTTTATACATAACTCTACCATCAAACTTTTCGTGACCAGTTCACAAGTGTTTTCTTAGAAAGATCATGGGATCATCGAAAAAGCATCTACAACGTTTTGATCAAAACGTTGAAGCAAATGTAGTTGTAAAGTCATTTTCTTTTCTCATATGTGACTTGTGAGGGTGATTTCTATTCTCGTAAGTCTTTACAACTACTATATAATATATGATCAATTATAATTACGAATTTTTTAAGATTATATTAAGCGAAAATATTAATTTTAATGTATTTGTATTTTTTATAGTTATGTTAATCATATTATTTTTATTAGAGTAGTTAACATAAATTATCGGTAGTGAAATCATTTAAAATGTTGTCAAATTATTATTTCTCTTGTCATCTTATTTTAATTTATTATTATATTAAGTAATCTGATCTATAAGTAAATGAAAATAATATACTTAGTATGTCATTAATAAACTTTAATTCTCAAATATGCAAACTAAAAGACCATTAAAATTTAACGATCATTTTATTTTATTTCTTTTATTTAAAAGTGCATAAAAATAATTAAATAAACATGTGAAGACAATTGAGAATATTGATGTTGCATTTTATGTATTCACGGTTTATTATCATAACCACTTTGTCGTTCTTATAACAATCATGTTGAAAAAAATGGATAAAAACTGGTTTTTGTTTGAAAAGGTTTTTCATAGATGAAATAAACATGTTTTTATAATTAGAAGGGACATGTTTAGCTAAAAACTTAGCTTTTTGTATAAATCTTCTTCCTAGAAGCTTATTGAATAAGCGACTTTCTATATCATTAAACCCAGGGGCGGAACACAAACTTTCTAACCGTAGGGGCCGGAACTAGTATATTATATAT